GCAAAAATTTTTTTTGGGCCCCCCCCCCCCACCCCCATTTCTCATCTAACAGTCAAATCATGTGGTGTGTCTGATCCCAAACCCCCTCTCTCCACGCTGGCTTTCCACTCCCTTTCTCAAAAAGGAAATCGGGTTACTTTCAAGGACTATGTGGTAGGAAAGATTAGCCCCCCAGTACTGGTCCTGCGCAGCAGCCTTCAAGTCAAAAATGGCTCTCCTCGGACGTGGGGGTTACGTCCAATGCAATGATCCAGCAAGGATATTTAAAACGAAACAACGATCAGAATCGCTCAGGATGTTAAATGTATGGTCACATGTGGATTTTTAGCCATTTTCAAAATGCGGAAAATGTCCAGACATCTAAAAAATATTCTAATACATGTTACCCATCTATTCATCCCCTCAACTTTCCACTGCTTATTTAGTACATGGTCATGGGGTGTAATATATAACACAAGAAAACTTTATTAATTGTGCAAATAATCACAGTTGTACATGTTTTATATAAGCGTGTAATACCGTCAAGGAATTATTTAAATAGATTTGATTTTTTTAAATGTTTGAGAGTAAACTATACGACGATGATGGTTTTGCACGAAAAATATATATGTATGCGATTATTTCGAAGTCAGTTTGTCACTTAAGACGAAAGCGTATAATGTAATTGAAAAAAACTTTATCCCAGAAAGCAGGGCCATGAGGCAGGAGGCACCTTAAGCGGGACGTCAGAACATCACACAATGTCCAGCTTAGGATCTTACATGAGGCAGGTTTGAACAGCAGCACAGCATTCAGAGCAGAGGTGGATAGTTCAGGTCCAGAAAGTAAAAATCCAGACCAACCATTTGATTACTACGTGACTTTGACTCATTATACTCAACTGGTTGGTTGAAGCAAAATCATGGTCTGTTTTTTTTCTGTCTGGAACTGAACTATTCACCTCTGATTCAAAACCCTTTAATGCATGCTCTGTATTAAGATGCAGGACTGTGTCAGGGGGCTCGCGCCACTTACCGCCGCCCTGGTGTCGTACAGACGATAGATGAAGTAGCCCTCCACTGCAATGCCACACAGAGCCACAAGCAGCAGCAGGTACAGCATCATCCGGCCCGTCCGGCTCTGCCTGGAGGGAAGGGGTGGCATCATCGTGGGGAGGTAGCGTGCCTGGCTGTCCACCACATACACATGCGGATGCTGTTCCTTTGGATCCTCTTGGCCCCGGGTCATCTCTGCAGCAGCCGAATTGGAGGAGGCACACGGGATATCCGGAAGTCGGAGAGGGTCACGTCAACCTGGGGTCCGCACCAAGTGGGTGGGAAGTCTCAAAGAACGATGGAAATACTGCTAAAATCCTTCTTTAACTTCTGAACAGAGAATAAAACTCCTCAGCTGAGAGATCAGAGCGACGTTGACCCCAAAAGAGCTGCGAGAATAAGAGCAAGAGCAAAATGAAACCAGTGGCCAGTGAAAGAGTCTCTGAAGAGTGTATCTGTCTCTCCTCCTTCAGGTAGACCAGTGCCGCACGTCTCTCTCACCAGCCACTTTCATACATGTAAGAATGTACAGCGACCCTGCCGCTGCATAGAGTACTCCTCTTTAACACCCCCACCCGCTCCTGTGTCAGTCTCTCTCTTTCTTTCTGTCGGCCACACGTGTTTCCGTTTCTTGTAGCTCATAATCTAAAAATGGCATTGCTGAAGGGGCTTCGGTGTTCAGCTGTGGATCAAGGGTAGCAATCAGTGAATGACGGGTGATTAAAGGTGCTTGTTGCAGAGGGACGTTGCTATAGATCCATCAGGTAACTGAGACCTAATCTGAGCTGTAAAATATCCAGTACTTTATAGGATGGGGACCAACGATACAACTACGCGAATCTGATTGCTACAGTTTTTATGGCAACACTTTAAGTACTTAGTGGTAATTCAGTTAAAGTACAGTAAGTATAAATCATGAACAAATATAGTAGCTACTTGAGATAAAAGATGCGTCATGATTGATTAATGGTGAACAAACATGAGATCAGTATATAACTAAAACTTAGTTGTGTTAATTAGTACATAATTAAGAGGACAATACTAAATTATTTATGTCCCCTAAAGTAAAGTCTTAGCTGGTTTACTGGGATCTTCAATAATTCCCAGCATGCATGCAGGGCTCCCAGACTGTTTTAAGGTGCCTACAATCATCCCAGTTCCCAAGTAAGACAAGATCACTGGACTAAACGACTACAGGCCGGTTATGAAAACCTTTGAAGGCCTCATGCCGGCCTATCTGAAGTCCATCACAGACCCCCTCTTTGGAGTTCGCAGTTCGCATACAGAGCAAATCACTCATTGGATGATGCAGTTAACCTGTCCCTTCACTGCATTTGCCAATATCTAGACACCCCCAACACATACACTCTATGGAAAAATTAGAGAGACATCTGACCATTACTCCTACAGTCAACAGAGCGTTAGTGACTTTTACGCGTTATGCGCCTCAACACTCGGCGACCCCTTTACCACTTTCTGTTATTCCTAAACGCTTCCACTTTGTAATAATACCACTTACAGTTGACCGTGGAATATCTAGCAGGAAAGAAATTTTACAGACTGACTTATTGCAAAGGTGACATCCTATGACTGTATCATGCCTGAACTCACTGAGCTCTTCAGAACGACAATGGGCCTGAAACACGCAAATTCGATGCTTAACAGGAGTGTCTCAATACTTCTGTGCATATATTGCTTATCAGGATTCTATTTGTGGACTTCAGCCTTCAGTACCATTGCTGACTCAGCCAGCTGTACCCCCAAGCACCTGTAAGTGGATTACCATCTTCCTGACAAATAATAAGCAGTATGTAAAGCTGTTTGACCCTATAGCCAACAACACAAGCCCCCCCAGGGCTCAGTTCGTTCACCTCTCCCATTTTCACTTTATGCAAATGACTGTATCTCTGCAATCTCAAAGTTTGCAGACGGCACAACCATAGTGGAACTCATTTCCAAAACTAATACTACCCCCATACCACAGAGAAGTGGGTCATCTTGCTGCATGGCGTGCCAGAATCAACCCGGAACTCGATCCTTTCGGGAACACCAACCCCCCCGCCTGCTTCCCCCTGGAGATTAATGTCCTGGCTATTTATATGGTTGATTCAAATTCCTGGGGACCGTGGAAGCTCAACATCTCAACATCTTTTAATGCATAATACTGAAGCTTTACTCTGCCATCGTTGAGACTGTCGTAACGACCTCCATCATCACCTGCTACCTGCTGCCTCCTACCACTCCAAGACTGGGATGCAACGTGTGGTCCACTCAGCTGGGAAAATCATCAGGACCTGCTCATCACCAGGGCAAGGCCAAAAGGAGAGCTTGGCAGATGGGTGCTGATCCCACCTCTTCACCAAACTGCCATCACAGTGGAGGTGCAGGTGAATCCTAACTCGCATCTCACTCCATCTCCAGAGCTGCGTTACCACAACCAACCAGCACCTAAATAAACTCACCAAGTTCCTCAGAAACCACCCCACCCCAGGAAAATTACCTTCCTCCCATGCCTGACTCTTTACTCTTATGGTCAAATTGCACTATTGGTTTAATTTGCACTAATGTGCACAACTTTGTTGTTTTTTTTCTCTGTATACTAATCCAGTTATCATTGTTACGAATAAGTGGAGCTTGCGAATTGCTCTCCACATACTGATGTTCTGTGCACTATAGCCATTTTTTATACATAGTACTCTGATAGTACTCTTATATATTATCTTAATATGTCTTGCACAGTGTGCTCTGTTGATCTTGTGTGTTCTGTTAATCTTGTTTTCTGTTAGTCTGTAATTTCTATTACATTCTTAGGTTTACAAATATATCTCCTATGAAGTGTTTTACCTTATGTCTCAAAATCTTTGACCTGTGCTTCATGTGTGGCACCAAACCAAAAAACAAATCTGATACATTTTTATATAGTGGCAATAAAGTGAGTTCTGAGTTCTGATAAGTAGCTGAATCCATGGTGATTTCCAGCAGAGATGGGATCCAATGGAATCTGCAATTCATCTTCAGGTTCTGTGAAATTTCCAGTAGGTCCCAAGAGGTATAGAACAAGTTTGTTTACACATAACCAAGAGCTGTGAGTACAGAAGTGGGGTAAATGTTTCAATTTTGAGATGGGCAGACATTTTGTGAGCGTTACTGTTTTGTATATTCTGACAGTTTCCACCAAGAGCTCAGGAACCTAAGGTGTTTTGGTTGTAATCCTAACTGCTGCCTTTTGTGCAGTGAACTGTCTTTCGTCATTGTGATTTGTCCTTATGACCAAAAATAGTTAAACATCAGTTTCACTAACAGATATTTACAGTGACATTTGAGGTTTTGTGCTTCACACTAAGATACAAAAAGTTGACATGTTGTTAGGGGTGTCTCCTTAAATGCCTCCCAAGACCAGTCGCACCAAAAACTGTCTCCTTACAGTACACATGATTGCATAGTGGCTTCTGCAGCCAGTGAGGTGAACTTGCAAAGGGGCTGTAAGAGTGCAGCGACTGAATGATTCATGCTAACCACATCCTGTTCCTAATCACCAACCCAGCAACTGTGCACCTAACCTTTGCAAGGGGGTGCAGACCAGAGACTACAGAAGTCTCTTTTTTTTTTTTCAACAAAACTGGGGACCCCCTACCTAAAATGTGTGATCACAGGTGTAACTAAGAACTAAGAATGAGTTTATTAAGAACTAACAATTAAGTAAGGGGTCTACATTTCAAATTTTCCATTCCATTCCATTCTCTGCCGCTTATCGGGTCACGAGATCAGCAGTCTACGCAGGGATGCCCAAACTTCCCTCTCACCAGCCACCGCTTCCCAATCCCAAGGCATTCCCACACCACCCGAGAGATATGATCTTTCCAGCCTGTCCTGGATCTGCCCCGGGGCCTCCTTCCGGTTGCACATGCCTGAAACACCTCCCCAGGGAGCTGTCACCACCCCAACTGGCTCCTTTTGATGCGGAGGAGCAGCGGCTCTACTTTGAGCCCCTTCCAAATGTCTGGCCTCCGCTCCCCCATCTCTAAGGCTGAGCCCAGGCACCCTGCAGAGGAATCGCATTTCTGTCACTGATATTTGCCATCTCGTTCTTTCGGTCACTACCCACAATAGGTGAGGGTATGAATATAGATCGACCGGTAAATCGAAAGCTTCGCCTTCCAGCTCAGCACATTGCTGCTGATGCTGCACCGATCCGCCTGTCAATCTCCTGCTCCCTTTACCCTCACTTGTGAACAAGTCCCAGCGATACTTAAACTCCTCCACTTGGGGCAGCAGCTCATCCCCCACCAGGAGAGGGCAATCCACCCTTTTCCAGTCGAGAACCGTGGCCTCAGACTTGAAGGTGCTGATCCGTCCCTCCATGAATTGCCACATAATCGTGGTGGAGGGGTTTGTGTGCCCCTATGGTCCTGGGAGCTATGTTGTCGGGGGCAGGCTGATAGCCCCAGTCTCCCATGGTGTGATTCTCACAGCATGAACAAAAGCACCCTGCTCTCTGCACCCCCGACCTTCACCATCACCAACCCAGCTCTGTGTCTGACCGCAACTTTGAGCTCAAAGAATGGATTTGTACAAAGCCCAACACGGTGCCCACCCAGAAGTGGAAATGGGACGGTTTACACCTAAACCTTGTTTTGGCGGAGAAGCTACCCAGTTTCTGCAGCAAACCTTCCAAAGTATGACTGGTCAGGGACCGGGACAGGATTCTGGGTCCCCTGACAAAATGTCACCATTAACCCCACCAATTAAACCTATAATTTTACTTATTTAAATGCCCCTGTCAAGTTATCTATGACCCTCTGATGCCCCTGGTCAGAAGCACTGGATCTGTCAGCAACAGAGACTGACAATAATCACTTTCTGGAATGGTCATCGTTATCGTTATCATCATCATCGTCATCATGGGCTTAATGGTTAGGGAAGCGCACTTGTGATTGAAAGATTGCTGATTTGAATCCTCGACCAGCAAGGCACCACTGAGGTACCCAGAGCAAGGTACCGCCCCCAAGCACTGCTCCCCGGGCGCTGAATTAGCTGCCCCCTGCTATGTCACAATCTCACATATGGGTTAACTGGAGACAACACATTTCGCTGTTGTGCACTGCGTGCTGTGGTGTGCCAACACTGATCACCAAATTCTAATCATCATCATAATTTACAATCTGCAAGTCCATACACGTGGATTAAATCAAGGGCTTGTTTAGACATCGCACAAGTCAGCAGACTCGTGGTTTTGATCGTGGACGAGACCATCATGCAACAGCTTACATCTTAGGACGTGTCCATGAAACAGTTTCGGTTCTAGATTAAAAAAAAAATGCACTGCACAGCACTTACTGCTGCTGTCATTCACTGGCTGACTTCACATGCTCTGTTTTGATGCAAATGTGATGGTTTTTGGGAAAATTCAGCCACGTGATGAATAGAAAAGAACGGTAATTAGGTTTATTATTCACATTGCCAATAACATTACATAAGAAACATCTCAACCTTGCTTTGTCATTTGGTTACTTTGGGTCACTGTTTAGCTATTACAGTTTAGTGATACCAGACACCAGACACACTGTGTATTAATAAAACATAGTTATTGGCAACATATGTTTTTATTTTTATATGTCATGTAGCAATATGGTATTTTATGTAGAAGACCTTACAATGATATTGACTGCAGCCCATAATTAAAGACACTGTTCCTTTTTATGCAAAATGTAATTTTGGATATGATGTTGAATCTGATTAGCAGTCCTGGCTCCTGGTCTAGTCTGAGCTTCCTAAAGCAGTAGAACCGTCACACCATCTGACGCCGAATGCAAAGCAATATCCTACCCGCCGTACATCATGCATCACCGCTGTGTGTAGAAAATGCCAAACAGGGTTAACAAGTGAAGATGAGGTTATGGTTGGGGCGTCCCCCCCTTGGAAAGGATAAAACTTCAGAAAAACTACAACTTCTGAGTCATATCTTATACGGGCTGCGTCTGTGACACCATCCCCCACTCACACACGTGCTCAAACCCACAGAATCTTTACAAAACTCATTTATCTCATTGCAATTTACTGTCACGTACTGTAGGTTTGCCTGATTATCTGTCTTTCTGTCAAAAGAGTAGGGGTGGTACCCTGATGTCCTGGCTAAAACTGTCTACTGTGGCCCTATCAAATTTGGCCTCCTAATCAGTTTTCAGTTTTATTTGTCATATGCAAGTTAGCACAGGGTCAACATTACAATGAAATGCGACTGACGAGAATAGACAAGTCTCTCAGCAATATGGTATAAAGAAATAACAATATAAGTTTAAAATTGTTAAAAAAAAAAAAATGTACTGAGGTGTGGGGGGGGAGACAATGTTATTGCACATGAAATAAAGTGACAATAGTGAGCAGAGTAGTACAATTGTCAGCGATTTAAGGTGGCACTCAAGTAACAGTATTGCACCGAGTAAGAGTTTTTAACTTTTATGTTTTGTAATAATAAAAATAAAAATAAAAATGAAGTGCAAAGTGTACCTGAGTCTGTATTGTACAGGACAGTTCGTATGTACATCCAGTGACGTGTGACGTGTGTGTTCAAGTGTTGTAGCTGAGGTGTCGAATGGCTTGATGATAAAAACTATCCCCTATATCTAACTGCTGAATCCTCTCCTGCCCCTTCATCTCCGTAGCTTCTGTGTGGTGAGCGTACTGGTGCAGAATGGCTGCCGTCGCATCATCCAGGCGGGGGCCACACAGTGCTGGGGGTGGAAGTGGCTCCCCATTGGTTCTGTAAAGCACTTTCAGTGTTTGAAGAAGCGCTACATAAATGTATCTTTCATTCACATATTTCATGATGGTTTCTTCAGGTAACACTCATTTCAGGACTGTGATGGGAATGTTCTGTCTGCTTACTTCATTTATTTTCTAAAACCATCACTCTGTCTCGTTGTATTATTATACGAGGAGGATGTTGAAATTCCCAGTGCTAAAAAAAACTCATTTTTTCACACGTCACCCTTTTGGAAACCTGTTCCAACCCACTGATAGGTTATGAAGAACATCCTTTCCGTGGTACTCAGTTCCTCACACTGGCTCACTGCACCTCTCACACTGTCATTGTTCCAGTGGCGACCCTTCCACCGCCCACAATCTTTCCCATTTACTGAAAGACTTTTTGCACTTTATGATATTAAAGATAAACAGCATACAGTAAGAGAACATACATGATAACAATAACGACACTTTATTGATTCTCATTGGGAAATTCTCTTTTCACCTCCCCCAGCTTACACATGTAGGCGAGAACCAGCTTGGCAGTGAAGGGCAGCCACCTGCAGTGGCGTCCATGGAACTGGGGGGTTAAGGGCCTTTGCTCAGGGGCCCATCGGCGGCACAGAGGCTTAGCCCACTGGACCTCGCACTGCCCCCAAATTAAAAATAAAACTTCATGAAGTAAACTGATACTAATATCAAATCATATGTGGGTTAAATTCTGAACAAGAAAATTACTTTTAGTATGATGTATGGATATACACACTTTACCTCACACGTAATATATACCCATGCACCCCCCAGTGTAATTTTGTTTTGTGTGCACAGCGCCATCTAGCGGCATAAAATATTTGCCGCTTCTGTTACTTCTCACCAGTTTTCAAATGACGCTTTAGAGAAGCTGCACTTGCCTATATATTAGTGTTAGGGTTAGAGACAAATCTGGTGTGCAAATGTGTCCTCTACATTTAACCCATGATTTGGGGTATCCTTGTCCCCCAAACATATTACACTCAGCCTCAAAGTGTGGCACCACGCCCACTGATTACTCAAACACCAAAATAAGACGTGTTTGTTTTGTGTTTGTCTATGTCCGCGTTTATGTTTCAGGAGGAAAAGACCCAGACACAAAGCTGAACACAAACGTATCAATCCCCAACGGAAACACTTCCAGCAGAGAGAATGGATCCAACATGTATTGAAGTCAAGATAAATGCAGGATTTTATTCTGTGTCTTTATAGTTGTAGAAAGGAATAATATTACCAAGACAACTTTGCAGTAATTTAAAGGTAATTTATTCTGCATATATATGAGAGTATTCAAAAAACAAACTTTCTTTTGGACAATCGGCATGCAAAATTAGTTACAAAGTGCCTTCTCCTTATGAAAGCTTTCCATGAGCTCTATTCGGGTCAGTCGGTCGATGTTTCAGTAACTCTCAAGCTCCCATCACTGTTTTTTTTCTTCAAGCTTTAACAAACCAGTTCCTTCGCATACAGACGCTTCGAAACACTACTGTATTGCATAGATTACGCATAAACGCATATCTATGTCTGTGATTCTTAATCAATGAAGAATTCAGACTTCTATCGAAAATAATAAACAAGTATTATTAGGTTATAATAATGCAACAAATGGTAGTGATAAATGATTGTCAAAGTTGCAAAAACATTAACAACTAAATAAAACCTTTCCTGTTAGAGAGTGAGCCAATAACCCCCAAAGTCATAAAATCCTTCAAACTTTCAACGTTCCAATGGTCACAGACATGGGGCCTGCTAGGAATTTTGGGCCCCATGACAGCATATCACATTGGGCCCTCTAATCTAGACCAATCCACTGATGTTCCAAATTTTTTTGGGTCCCAGTCACTGAGAGGCTCTTGGAATTATTCTAACCCAACCCCCCCCCCCCCCATGGTACTCAACCACAACCATAATCATCTACAACATGAACGTGCCAAAGAAGTTATCCGCAGAGGTCTGCCTCAATAGCTTTGTATGATTGTGCACCTTTACAAAAATGGCATCACCCTCGTGCAGAATGTACACCCCCCCCAGGTAGCTGTTCAGCATGCCCCCCCTCCTGTCACCCCTCTCATGAAATCGGAAAGTGCGCATCAGCTCCATTTCTTTATTGGGGCTGTGTGGGCTGATTCTCAGTATCGTGTGGGTGAAGGCTGCCGGGCTGGGCTCAGAGAAGAACACCTTGGAGTAGATGAAGTAGTAGCCCTTTGTCTTGACAAAGAGCTTCCCCTCGGTGTAGTCCATCTCATGGGTGAAGGCATCTCCCCCGACGGTGGTCCACATCATGAGTCCGTCTTCCCGGGGTAGGTGTGTGCTGGCTTGATAGGAAAAGTAACAGATCACTGTCAGCTTACACTGGATACAATGAGAAGCACGTCTTGTTTATTAAAGGGTCCGCACTGTCGTTTAATTATCGTGATATCTCACCTGTCAGGTGTGCTGACGGCTTCGGAGGTTTAACTTCAGTCCGGTAACTATTAGCGGTAGCATCCCTCTCATCTGTTTGGGAAAAGGAGGATTAATTTTTAACAGTGATTCTTTTGGGAAGTAAATATAGAGATTAAAGATTTTTTTTCTTGTACAGTGGAGGCTGAAAAACAACAAATGAGCAACGCCAAACGTCCATGAATGCGAATATCGCGGTTCCTACCCTGCTGGCGCTTCTCTGTGGTTAGGGTGTCCGCCTGAAACGAGACAATCGCAGATGTTATCATGGACACTGGGCACCATTTATAAATCTGTGTCTTTGAAGGCTTTGGTAAGTGCAGATATTTCACGCTACTGAAATTTTTATATTTGTTTATTTTACAATATTTTAAATAATGTGTATTTAACACATATGTAAAACTTCATAATGCGAGCCACACGTGAGAGTAAGTAGAAATGATTTTGGGGGGTGGGCTCTGAATCTGCCGATTACTGACATGAATGCAAAAATAAAACTTAAGAGACTGATTTGGTTACTAGCCTATACCACTGTGTGCATCACAAAGTTTAAAGACCCTGTTTTTTATGCGAGCCCCCTGGAAAAATAATTATTCTAAAACAGGGGTCTCCAACAGGTAGCTCACGCACCCATAAAGATTTGCTCACCTAACAGTCCTTTAACAATCACAAACACATAAACGAAAAAATGCATTTTTGCATTTGCGTGCTATCATGCATCTACTCACATTTTCATTTAGTCTGTTCAGATGTCTAAAACTTTCGAATTGTGACTTTAGTTTCAGTTATACAATTAGCGTTAGCATTTATTGGCCGAAAAATCAGGTGGTGGGCAAGGTTTCGCTAATCGCTTATTATTGAAGCTAATTTTATCGTTAGCGGATTGGCGTTAGACTTATTTTGAAAACCGTTAGCGGACCAATTACAGTAGGTTCTGCTAAATTTAATGCCACTATTTGTAAATTCTCTAACATTTTTCCGCAGGTAAAGTGAATAAAGTTCAAAAACGTCTGTAAACCGTAAAATAATACGTAGACTATTTGTTCCTGCCAGTCGTGACCGAGTCCGCAACAAGTGAACTTAGATCAAGTCTATTTAAACTGAGGCACCACAAACTAAGCAGAGAACGGGGACCTGTATCACGAAGCTGATTTTCTTGCCTAGCAGAATAACTTGTTGGATTCAAGGTACCCTAGTTTAAATGGACTTCATCCTCGCTCACTTAGCCTACGTTTAGCCCACACTCTTAAACCCGAACAAATCCAGCTTCCTGATACAGGCACTTAGTTGTATTTTCCAGGTTCTGATTGAGCACCTCAGCCATTCCATGTATTCATTAAATTTCACCACCAGCTCAATCAATGAATTTATTTAAATAATTTGATGAGGTATTGATTACCCAAACGAGGTGGAGTAGTGGTTGAGTAAAAAAAATAATCATCTTTCGGATGATTGCTGCAAATACTGGGGTGATTTTAGAAGAAGCTTTGAAATGGCTAAGTTGACTCATTTTGACAGACATAAGATCATAATTTTACACCAACAAGAAGATAATTTAATTTCCTATGTTTGCTTAAGACATGTGCACAGTAGTGCATTTTTCATTATTCATAGATGTTGCACCGTGTCACAGGCTCGTGCTGTAAGGCTGCTTGGCAGAGCTCCTTACCGTCGCAGTGGTGTTGTACAGCTTGTACATGAAGCAGGCCTCCACTATGACACCACACAGAGTCACGACCAGCAGCAGGTACAGCACCATCTGTCCCACCTGGCGCTGCCTAGGGGGAGGGGGAGGTGGTGCCATCACTTGGGGCAGGTAGCATGCCTGGCCGTCCACCTTGAATACGGGCGAATATATCTCCATTGCTTCTCTAGCTTCCCCTGGATCCTGGGTCATTGCTGCGGCAGCCTGGATAGAGGATACATGAGATGTTCGTCTGGAGAGTCCAAGAGGTCACACCAACCTGGGATCCAGACAGATTGGATGGGCTGTGTCAAAAACCAATGAAAATACAACCTATATTTAAAAATACCTTCCTCCACTTCTGAACAGAAAGTAAAACTCCTCAGCTGAGAGATCAGAGAGCCGCTGGCCCCGAAAGAGCTACAAAAATATGAACAGAAATATTTAATTGGCGGGCAGTTGAAGAGTCTCTCTGAAGACTTTCTCTGTCACCTCCCTCAGGTAGACCAGTACTGCGCGTCTCTCTCATCAGTCGCTTTCATGCGTGTGAGAATATGCTGCTACACAGAGTATTTTTGTATTAACACTCCCCCCCCCCACTTGCTCCTGCATCAGACTCACTTCCCTGCTTTCTCTGTCACATGTTTACTTTTTTTGTAGCGCATAAACTCAAAGTGACTTTTTAAAGGGGTCTGAGTGTTGATCTGTGGGTCAAGGTTGGCGATCAGTAAAGTCATGGATGGGACTTTAGAGCACTGTTTCCCAACCCAGTCCTCAGAGAACCCCGGACAGTCCATGTTTTTGCTCCCACCCAATCAGGAACACCGAATAGCTGGTACAGGTGCACTGGGAGATGAGAGGAAGCAAAAACACGGACTGTCCAGGGTTCCCTGTGGACTGGGTTGGGAAACACTGCTTTAGAGCAGTGGCCCCCAATCCCCGGGCTGCGGACCGGTACCAGGTAATGTTCTCCTGGCAACTCTGCAGTTGTCGAGTCAGCAGAGTGTTGGTGATTTCTGCGCACTATGCGCCTCAGCACTCTGAGACCCTGCTCTGCTACTTGATGTGGTCTGTCAGTTCGCGGCCCGAGTTTCTGTCGTTCCTAAACACTTCTGCTTTGCAACAATATCACTTACAGCTGACTATGGAATATCAAGCAGGGAAGAAATGACTTATGGCATCCTATGACAGTACCATGCTCTTCAGAACCCATTCTTTCACAAATGTTTGTAAACCTGACTGCATGGCTAGGTGCTTGATTTTATACACCTGTGGCAATGGGTCTGAATGAAACACCTGAATTCAATGATTAAGAGGTGTATCCCAATCCTTTTGTCCATGTAGTGTATGTTCAGGTTCTTTGAATATACCAGTATGTATCAAGAGCTACTCTAACCCCTAAATGAAAATACAAGTAACTAGGAGATAGGGACTGATAAAATATTTCTCACTGCAGCCAAAGAGTCTTTTGCATTTCTTCAAATTGCATAATCTCACCCTCTTCAGTCAACGACCAAAAGCCACTTTTGTGAGAAACATCACTCCAGACATTTCTCATGTGCGGTTTCTTAATGGTGGGCCGGGCTGCTGAAACACATCCAGTCATCAGATTTCCTTTCCACCTTCAAGAAAGACTACCTCTACTAGCCTACACCACTCCAAGTTCCATTAACACTCTTAGTGTTGCAGTTTGTCTACTGATTTGAGTAGTTGTCTTATGAGGTTCTTGCTTTATTTGGAAGTTCTTCTGTAGCTCCTGCTCCAGTACTGCTTACTATAACATCTCTGAGGACACCCTGTGACTATCCTTTGGGTCTGCTGGAGAATCGTCAACCTCAATGTGGACCAAAAGGGGTTTGTGCAAATCCCAACACAGTCCACACCCAGAAGATAAAATGGAGCAATCTCACCTAAACTTTGTTTTGGACCAAAACCCTCTCCGTTTTTTGCCGCAAATGGTCACCGTCAACATCATAATTCGTAATTAGAAAAGCCATCCGCAGCTCGTAAGTTAAGTCGTGGACTTATTATGATCTTGTACAGGTCTGCAGAGACGTGGTTTTGAGTCCGGATGAGATGGGTCACGCAAAAGCAGAAGTCTTAGGAAATGACCAGAAACAGAAAGATTGCGATGGTTTCAGTTCAGGATTTTAAAAAAGCACCGCACAGCATTTACTGCTGCTGTCGTCTCATTGGCTGACTTTATGTGTGCTATTTTGGTGTTATTGTGCAATTATGATGCATTCTGGGAAAATTCAGCCACATGATAAGGAGAGAAACGGTAGTGATGTTTATTGTTCACATTACTGATGACATCATGCAAGAAGCATCTCAACCCTGCTCTGACCTCACTTTGGGTCACTGTTTCAGCTATTAAAGTTTAGTGATGGCATACCAGATATGTTGTGTATGAATAATAATAATGACACTTTATTGATCCCATCTTTTTGCCTACCCATCATGCTCTCCATGACACATAAGTAGGTGAGAGCAAGCTTGGCAGTGATGGGCAGCCACCTGCAGCGGGGCCCATGGAGCTGGGGGGGGGGGGGTTAAAGGCCTCGCTCAAGAAACTAACATGTAACCATTCTGCTAAGGCCAGTCACAAGCTGGCAACCATCCGATCACAGGTACAGAGGCTTAGCCCACTGAGCATATGTTTTTATTTTTATATCCCATGTTGTAATATAATGTTTCATAAAGAAGACCCAACAATAATGCTTATTTCAGTCTATATGTCATGCCCCGATCGTGCTGATCCTCTTGTGTGCCACACCCTCTCATCTACCTCCTGTTATCAGCTGTTTCTAGTTGTGTTTAATTAGTCCAGTGTATTTAAGTGTGTGTCAGTGTATGTTTTCCCAGTCTGATCATTGACATTGTTCCGTATTCCTAAGTGTTTCTATTCCAAATAAACCTGGTGTTCACCCGACTGCCCCGACTCCTGTTCCTGCTTCCCCGCTCTGTGCCAGCATGTGTAAGACACCATAATTGAAGACATGAAAATATATGTTGCATATGTTGAATCTGACATAAATGATCAGCAAAGCCTGCCGGTATGTCAGATAGCCAGTTCAACCCTGCAATTTCCTCATACAGACCTAATACTGTATATGATCTGCCCCCAATGTAATTTTATTTTGTGTTTACAGCACCCTCTAGAGCCATAAAAAAAATTCAACCCATCTGTGGATGTTCAGCTGTTTTCAAATGAAATTTTAGAAAACACTGTTGAATTGTGTCAGGGTTAGAGACAGGTTCAGAGAGACATTTGATTTGCTAATTTTCTGCAAATTTTTCAACAAGACTTAACGAAAACACCATAAACTGAGTGATGCATTTCACGAATCAGAGAATGTTTTTTTTACTTTTTAAAATTTATCGCTGATGGAAATTTCAGTTGAAAAAAATATAACTTACAAATTATACTATTATGAATCTGCGTTAAGCCCTGTACTGCTACATATAGGCTCGAGGCAACCCTGGGACCCTGACCAGCATAAGCGTTTAGATGAACTGATGGAAGGGGGAGACTGGAACCTGTACCAGGCTGTGTTGTTAAATGTGTCGCAATTTCCACTATGCAGTACATTTCACAGCAATGAAAGATTAAACATCGGATTACCTGCCTAAGGGCCCTTACCACTCAGCAAACACCTCTAAGTGTTTATCGCCTCTCAGGGCGTCACGCCACGCCCACCACCGTCATCAGGCACGTCCCTCGCGCATCATTGGTCAAGCGGACGTGTGTTCCACTTGATTGGCACAGATAGACCTCAATCATACAGCGCTCCAGCCAATTGCGTGCTCTGAAAGTTCGTACGAGTAAAATCACCCGAAAAAAAGAGATTAAGGAAGTTGCTGGCCTGGGTGGTAGGTAGCGGTGTAGTGACAGTGCGTCCTGGCAGCACCCTGGCACTGTTTAATCGGATTTAGGTAAACAGGGGTGCAGATATGGGAACCCGCCGAAGGAGCGTGATTTCAAGCCCTGCTGGATTATTTTTAACCGTAGTCCTGAGTCAGTGTTTGGATTTGATAGGGGCTTTTGGACAGAATCAGGACACCGAACTCACCTTTCTCCTGCCCGCTGGGAAAATGGAGTGTTTCTACCAAACAGCCTCGAAGAACGGCTCCATGGAAGTGGAGTATCAGGTGAAACTGTCATGTTTGTACGTGGCTGGCCGTAATGTCCTGCATTGCTCAGAAACGGGTGGAAAGCATGCTCTGCAGGGGAATGCGTGGATGGTCAATCTGATTTTTTTTGTGGGGGGGGGAGAAAGCACGTTACATTGCAGAACATTTCTCCTTGCACGCGCTGACAGTGCATGTTACCTAGATAAACGGTAGCGGATGTGATTACGTTTTAATTGAGACATTTTTAGAAGCGGCGTGTCGTGTCTGTGTAGGAGTGGAGTTAATACTTCCTTGTTGAAATTATATATTTTTTTCAAGTTACCACGAATATGAAATTGCCACGACAGTAACCGCAAAATAATATAGCTCCTCCTCTTACACTGGTAATCTAATCCGGTTCAAGTAGTAGCGCCATAGGTTACTAGTGTGATACGACACTAACAGTATTTATGTCCGGGCGACTAGTATGTGATGTTTACACTTTAAATGATTTTGTTTCGGTGCAGGTTCGCCTCTGTTTTGCGTCTTGTTCCCGTTTTCCTCCCTTGTATATAAACATTTTTTTCTCGATCCGTCGACCTAAAACAAGAACAGTGTCCTCCAATTTCTTTTTTAAGCACTCGGTTTGTTTGTGGATCGGGCTTTGCATATTGTGCCAGCATCATCAATATTTTGTGGTAGAGAGAAAATGTGCTTCATATGTGAAGGCACGTGTAATGTTGGAAGGTTTTTCTATTTATTTGTCAAATTACAGATAAAGAAGTAGGATAAAACGCACGTGGCTACGCTTACAAAATCACCTGAATAAACTGTACTATATGTTTTGACATCAGTTGCATGTACGCATGCTGGTGGTGTGTGTTAACGGGACTAGGCGAGCCTGTGGTGTCTTGCAGTAAGGCTGTCTAGCCGGTGTTCTGACGAGTTGAGCAACTTTGTGGAGTTAGGCTACCGTAGTGCTAATCGATAGCCCTAACCCTAACCCCCCAAAAAATCACCTAAAACCCTCACCCTAACCCCTAAAACCTAACCCTAATCTCAAGACGGTGGAACTGCACATGCGCAGAAAGGCTCGATAGGTAGCTCAACTCGTCAGAACACCTGCCTTTTGATCCTGGTCATGGGGGTGGCCTAAGGAATATAGATACATTTCAGGGAGATAAGTTCTGTGGTGTAAATTTAGGGACCGACACCTTTAGGTTTATGTTTAAAACAGTGTTCATTGTACCCAAGGCCTGGTTTATGTGCTCAAGCTCCCCTCAGACGTAGGATCTGTGTGGGAGGCGGGTCTTCCCTCACAGGCCCCGCCCAGTGAATGTGAAGCCACACCCACAATGCCTCACCTTAAGACACATAAGCGGAAGCAGCTCCTTTGTGCCGGTCTTGCCTGGTTCTGGATGGCATATCCAGACCATGGCTGTGGAGAGTGGGTTTGTAGAGTGCTGCGGACGGCCTTGTTTGATGCAGGAGTCTCCTGTACCGACTCTTGTCATGACTCTGCTATATAAGGTTGAAGCCTGGTGTTGCGTTGCTGGCATGTCATGTTACCCCTATAGTGTAAACACTCCCCCCGCCCCCCAGTGGAAATGGGGGCAGAGAGAAAAGCTGTGCTGTGATTTCACACTTTGTGGAAATGGTGGTATGGTGCCCCTCCATTCTGCCCCAGAGACTGTGAGGTAAGGCTCTAATTTGGTCCCGCTTACCCCTTGTACACGACCCCCCCCACCATCCCCTCTATCCTACCCGTATGCCGCTGTCTGTTACCCTTCTGTACAGACGCTGGCCGTGTTAGGTGACCTAGCGGCTGGGCGTGAGAGTGGCACCTTGCATGTGTGCAGTGTGCTCTCAGCAATGATGATAAAATCATGCCTGAAAGTTTGAATATTCAAACTGGCACCACTGGCTTGCAGATTTTTGCATACCTGAAAACCACAAGTGAAAAAACCTAGAAACCTTTCAGCTGCCTTCCTAAAAATCCATAACTGTTGTATATTACATCATAGTCTTTGGCATTTATCTGTTTTTACTCTCTCTGAGAGACCTCTTCATCTGGATGTACCTGTTCCTTGATGCCCAGGTGATCGCAGGGGCAGGTATGGATGTTGACTTCACCATCATCTCCCCCATCGGGTACCAGCTGACCTCAGAGTTCCGCAAGTCGGATGGGATCCACACGTGAGTGGGAACTCCTCCCCAGCACAATCTCCAGCACGTGGTCCTCCATGAGTTTGCTTATCTAATGAGAAGGCTGGTGAATGTTATACAGTCATGGATGACTGTCTGCCAGTTTCCCGTCCCCCTTCGATCCATCCACCATTTTGAATCTTAGTGACTCTCTTTCAGTCTTCCTTTAAATTCTGTTACTGTTTTTTCTAATTGGTTGACTGGTGTGTAGCTGTAATTTACTCTCTCTTCTCATTGGCTCACTTATTGCTAATGGAGTGGTCTCTCTCTCTCGTGTTCACCCTCTGTTATTGTCCTCTCCCCTCTGCTTCTGTGATGGTGACCTTATGACAGGGTGGAGCCCACAGAGGAGGGAGATTATAGGATCTGCTTCGACAACAGCTTCAGCAGGTTCTCGGAGAAGATGGTGTTCTTTGAGGTGATCCTGGAGGGGCCGGGGGGGGACGCAGGAGGGGAGGACGACTGGGCGGACATAGCGGAACCCGAGAGTCTGCTGGAGTACAAGCTGGAGGACATCAGGGTGAGAAGGACGCCAAGCCCCCCACCAACTTTGAATCTCTTAACCCCTCTTCCTGATTAATCTCATACTGCCCCCTCCCCCCCCCAGGATTCAATAGACTCGGTTCACCGTCGCCTGGAGCGCAGCCGGCAGATGCAGATGTCTCTGCGCATGTTTGAGGCACGTGACCGCAATCTACTGGAAGACAATCTATGGCGCGTTTCCTTCTGGTCCTGCGTGAACATGCTGGTCCTCCTAGGCGTGGCCTTCACCCAGGTCTACACGGTACGGCGCCTCTTCGACGACAAGAGGAGGGTGCGCACGTAGCCCCGCCCCCCTCACCTTCGCCACAGCCACCCACCAGAAGTGGGACTTTGGGTAGGAGACGGGAACTGTCATTCAGAAAGATGGGCGAGCACTAGGGAGGAAGTGAGGTATGAGACTCGCCACTTCTCTTTCCTCTCATTGGTGGAGACCTTCCAGTTAAATCTGAGGCATAAACATCCCCGGGAGCTGTGACTCTCCTCGCCGCCACGTTCGCTACTACACTGCGGTGATAGTTTAGCGACTAGCGTCCGGTCTCTCAGCCGCACCTGTCTGCATCGGCCAGTCTCTGGAAATCTTCCCAGTGTGCTTCTCTGTAAATCCCTCCTATCATCCCGTCCCTGGACACATATCCAGCCAATGGGAATAATCACCATGTTTACATTTCTTTCATCAGCGATCCTTCATTGGTTGACAGTTCTATTTCCCGCCTCCTCAGGCCCGCGGTCATCGTCATATTCTTAGAAGATTTTTGCTTTTTTTTTTTAAGTCCCTTGGAGCTGATCTTGTCCCTAATGAAGACAGAGTTTTCAACTTTCACCTTTATTTTTAGAAATTACAGAGTTATATGTGGAGATGAGAGGTACTTTTTAAATCATGTGTTTACTATATGTAAGGACCCAATTCTGTGATTATCTGCACAAGTGTGTGTGTTTTGGATGTATGTGATACTAAAGGTGTGACTTTCCATGATTTAATAAAGTTTTAGTAGAAAAATAAATTCAGCCTCAAGTTTATTTTAACTTGGATGTAGTTTGTAAAATCTCCCAGGGAGAAGGTTTTCTGGGTTTTTTGGCAGTTAATGGCGGGTACGTGCTGAGCTTACGTTCTTATATGACTTGTTATATAGGACCCAGCACTTAATTTGTACAGGAAGAGGGTAGGAAACCTGCTGGAAAAGCAGGGGCCACAAGTTTTAAAAGTGGTATATTACTAAGAATCTACAACCATCAAAAAATAATTGATTGTCACCATAAATAGGTTTGTATTCTGCATTTGTTGGTTGGGCCCGAAGGGAGTATAGTGTAGGAATCATAGTGCGGTATGGCAACAAAACCAGATTTCCTTCACAGCTACTGATTCTTTATTTTTTTTCCCCCCAGATAAATTTCCTCCTGAAGGGCAATTCTTTCCTGGGTAGGGACACTATTTCGACTAACCAAAATTATAAATGGCAGTTAGCAAAGGAAATATTAAGTAAATCCCAGGGGTGGTATTATAGTGGTTGGGGTTTTTCTTTTTAAACCAGGAAACTGAAATTGCTTCAAGTATTAACATTTTAATCATTCCCATGAGAGTTTCATTTTCACAGCACACACATAAATATCAAATCTACTACTTCTGAGCAGAATTGCCTTCTGTTCATTAGACACCTGATTTACGTTAATATCTGGGCCCGAGAGAGTTCTTTTGCGGTTTGGTCATATGGTCCAGATGCTAGGAAGCAGCTTCAACTCCCCTGAGTTTCCGATGATCAGTAGACATTGATGCACAGAAAGTCGCCCCTTGGGTGCCAGCGATTGTTTCAGACCAGCGCCACTCCAGATAAACATGAGAACAGACCCAACTCCACCCAAGATGCCAATGCTGACTATTTACATGCCATTTAATGTGCAAAATGCAGAGCAATGCTCTTGATTATTGGAAATATAAATTTACACCAGTCCATATGACAACATATTGATGACAACTAAGAGATCTAATATGTAAAAAAAAAAAAAAATAATAATAATCATACACATTTGTATATAACGATTCATATCTTGGGCCATTTCATAGTTATTTAAATCATGAATCTGTATATTGTTAAAAATTCTTTTAAAGTACTTTCCAGTGATTATCACTTCAATACAGTTTGGTGCATCCAGTGACGTGTATTTTTGAATCCTGGTATAGAAGGAAACCAAATCTGTCTTCTTCTAGAAATCTTTGCATGTTTTTGGCTGCTGTAGTCGTGGCACCTCTGAAATCCGGTCGTATTTCCTTCATTTAACAACTCTAACATTGTTATGAGGTGTGTCCCACCAATATCCTGGGTCGGTCTGTTCACCACTGGTTCCGAGGACCTGGGCGCCTGTTCAGAGTGATGAAAGGACAAAGACTGAAATGCAAACCCAGCACGTCATGGATGCAGGCGGCCCGTGAGGGTGAGTTTAATCACTGCACAGTGGGGTAGGGTCAGATCCACACATTTTGGGAACAGGCCTTCAGCGGTTCCATGAACACAAACCCAAAGACCTCTTCTGTATTCATCACAGTGCAGGTCAGAGATCACTGCGGGAGCAAAGTTCATCAGACTAACCTGACAAAGCCTTGCTCTTTACCTCCCAAGCATTCAATCTCACGTGATCCAATGACACCCTTGATCGGTGAAGAACGGGCTATACTTTGGCCCTGAATGTAATGTGTTGTCTGGAGTGGTCCAACCCCTTTTTGTTTAACCTGTGATATACCATGTCTTACGGCGTTTCAGTACTAAAAGTTGCAACAAATATTTCTGGGTTCTGTGCTTATGTGACACCATTATGCATGCAATATTGGTCATCCATAACGACACGCAATTTAATCTCCAATTTTTTTTTGCCCCAATATTCGTATGTCAAAGAAAACATCAAAGGACGGTGAATAAAAACCAAATGGCTCCTCTGGTTATTCGTGACGATCTCCTACGACAACTCCTATTTAAAGGAACCAACGTTGCTGCTGTAATTGATATCACTGCCAGTTCTGCAGAATGTGCAGAGGTGGGAGAAAGGTGGCTTCAAGAAAACCTATATAGGGGAGGGGGGGGGGGGTTATCCCACACTGTCAATCACTTCCTGATTTTATCCCACAGAAAGTGTAATCAACCTTCATTTCTCACCCATAACTACAGTATAGAAGGACCCGTGATTGGCTGGAAAGACTGCTATAATCACAAGAGGTTGGTGATGCTTTTATGAAGGAAAGGGGGGGGGGGATAGATACCCCCCTGCAGCAAGAAATGAGGGCACCCTGAACCTAGGATATTCACCACCACTTTCAGCAAATCTCACCCACCACCCAATCACTGTCACAACGGTGGAAAAGAGAAAGTGATCAGACCAATCAGAAGTCATCTCAAGATGGTTGCCAGGACACCAGGTAGCAAAGGCTGTGCCGAGTGTCTTAAATGGAGGGAGACGAACATACCAGAAAGGAGGTAGGACACCGGGGAAGATGGAGAGTGAGAGAAATGACACAAAGAGCAGACACCAGCCACCAGAAGCCATTCCATTTATTGTACACATTAGCTTTTATTAATGCTCATTTCATTCATTATTTGTACTCAGTTATTCGGTTCCAGTCAGAACGAGAGGCACTTAAGTCAGGAAGCGTGTCCGGTTCTCCGAGTGGGAAGGCTGGGTAGCTCGCCCACCATCTCCATCTAGATGTATCTGCACGTTCTACCTTCAGGAAGGTTCTCGAATGAACCTCTGCAGGAAATTACCGACCGTAAATATAAAAACAAAGCCTTCGGCCAGCTGCCTCGGAGACGCCAAGGTCCCCGACCCTGACCAAGGACGGCCGTCATCCTGCTCTCAGAGTCTGTGTGTCTTCACGGGAAGTTCATCGGCCCACAAAACCTAAACTCCTCACACCCATCTGCAAAAAATGTAACAAAATCACACCCACACTCGGAGAGGGGGTTACTTTCTGCCAGTACCTCCCTTTGAAAATCCTTAACTAATTCCACAGGACTGCACCTGTATTTACACAGTCTCTTGAAGCAGGACATGCACAGCAAGCCAAAGAGCACTCGGACCTTGGCCATCTCCCCCACCCACAGGTTCAACCCACCAAATCAAAACGGAAAACATTCAGAATGTCTGTCAGAATGCTCACATTCCCAAAAAGCCCAAATAAACAAACAGAATCAGGAGTTACAGATGTTCAATGATCATACCAAAGACACATCTGACAGACGCTTTCTGCTTATAAAGCTTTTGGTTTTCTGTGAAATTTGTGCAGGATAACGGGGAAGAAATCGGAGACCATTACCCCAATGCCAAGAATGATGGCGATATGATGAGTTTTTAAATCAAGGGTGGTGGTGCGGGGGGGGGGGATTTGCCTCAGTGGCCTCTGTGACTAGCCTTCACAACGGTGGAGGACCTGGACAGAGCTCTCAGAATTCAGGATAAAAACCGCTTTTGACAAAATAAATCAGCCTTGGTATAAATAACACAAAAGGGTTACAAAAAAATCTCCATTTCCACAGGAACGTGACCAAACTGGTCATCTCAGTCATTTCACAAGTGGTTCCCACCCCCGCCCCACCCAAAATGTAATCCTCGTCCACCCCCCACGTTCTATTTAAAATCACGCCCCCAAACTTTCTGGTAACAGGTTTAGATTCCATTTTGAAGTTCCTGGTCACTTCACTTTCTGTCAGGGCTCTGACATCCCATGAAGCAAAGTGTCCCCCCCCCCCCACCTACCCCTTCAGGACAATCTCAAAAGATTTACACCCCCTGCCTATCAGTGCAATGAGGTGCCCAGAACACGCAAAAAAGTTAGTTTCTTTTTTTTCTTTCTTTTTTGTTTTTTTTCCTCTTTTAACCCATGTTATGTTAATGCTTCAGAGGCTCACAGGCCTGTCTACATCCACACACACTGGCTCCAGGTTCCACAGACACAGCCATTAAACAATCTGGAACTTTCTATTAACTGTTGAGTTTGCAAGGGGAACACACTGTTTGTACAGGGGGGCTGCTTAATACACCAAAACAATAACATCACCCCTGAACATGACTGCAAAACTGTGCTGAAGCAACACAACTTATTTTAGTCACTCCTGTGCTACAAATGTTAGTCTTTTTTGCCTTGACTGTATAAATTGCTTTAGGATATATGCCAAGTATGACTTGACTCATTTTCAGCTGCAGTTCAGTCAGAGCTTCTGACTGGTCTACACCACCGGCTCACCTGCTCTTTGATTGGTCGTATTGTGTTCTTATCGGTTGCGTGATTAAGGGAGGGGCAGGGGTGAGCTTCCCCTGTTTTACAATGCAATTATTAGACCTTAAAGCTAAATACAACAACATTGTAAAAGTACATACTTCCTGAAATACAAAAGGAGGAGGGAAAACAGACAATTTCCACAATAACAGTGATTTCCAGTATGACTTGAGTTAGAAAAATCAGTGGGGGGGGGCATAAATGGCTAATGTATCTTTTTATACAGATCAGACAGAAGTAGGAATAAATGGGGGGGGGCATAACTGTTATGCTGCAAAGACAATCTGTAATTCTGTACATTTCTGCACAAGGAGGTCGTCCGTAACCCTGAAGGCGACACTGAAGACGCGGCACAGCGACTGTTTGCATGTTTGCGTGCGTGTTTGTGTGCAGGCACGTGTACGGGCGCCCGCGTTCACAGCCGCCGTCCCGTCTGGCCCTCTCTCGGCACCCCAGCCCCACCCTCAGGCCCCGGGGCCTAGTCTAGTAAGGACGGCTCGGAGGGGCGGATTATGGTGGGCCGAAGGGGGGCGCCAGGGGGTCTCCGGCTGCAGGGGAGAGAGAGTGAGACAATGAGCAGGCAAGACCAGGGGGTCGGAGCGAGGGATGGGGGCAGGTGATCAAATGAGAGAAAGGGGGAGAGAAAAGAGAAACGCCTCGATTCCGGAAAACGCCAAGGTCCACCATTGCTCAAAAGCTGAGCGACCAATCAGAGGACAGAACACCAGTAGGGGGCGGGACTCACCTGGGGACGCCGGGGGGCAGGCTGGGGGGCACGCGAGCAGGCCGGGACGGGACCAGGGGGGGGGCGCCAAATGGGTCCTGGTTGCCAAAGGCATTGATGGGCTGCCCCGGGCGGGAGGGGATGGGGGGTGCCCCGAATGCTGGAGACGGGTTCAGAGGAGGACCTGGGGTGGGGCCCCTCACTGCAGGGGGCCGGCTGGGAGGGGGGGCTGCTGCTGCCGCCATCGGTCTGCGCTGGGAGGTAGGACTAGAGAGACAGATGGGAAGCCATGAGCATAAGACATGAACACGCATGTATACGTGTGCGTGTTCACGCCTAGCGAGTATCCCCACCTGGGGTCCCTCTGGATCCAGTTGTCGTTGACGGGCGGGGGCAAGGGTGAGGACACTGTGGTGGTGGTGATGTCCCCGATGATCTGCAGCGCCTCCTTCAGCGCGTGGTACATGCGCAGCATCTCATCGCGCTTCTGCGCCTGGTCAACCGACTCCTCCATCAGCGTGTTCTGGTCGCCTGATGAGTACAGGTAGGCCAGCAACTCCGAATGGATGAAGTCCTTCGCCTGCGTGGGGGGGGGGGGGGGGGGCGTCCGAAGTGAGAGGGAGAGAGGAAACGAGCAGAGCGGGACGGATACGTGGCAGCAGGAGGACCAGCCATGTAAAGGGACTGGCTATGAGAGTGTGAGCTGTCCCAAAAGGAGTCTACCTGCCTAGGCCTTTGTTGACCTTTATTGACTTTGTTGACCTTTGAGGTCCCCCACCCGCCCCTCCCTCAAGTGCAGGCAGGTCCTGACACTCACGCTGTTGATCATGGTGTGCATGATGGTCTTCGGTAGGAGGTCCCGAATGGTCTTGTTGACGATGTTGCTGTAGGAGTCCACCAGGTTGCGAATGGTCTCCACCTGTCGCTCCAGCTGAGGGTCCATGGACAAGGTGTCGACCGCGGCCTCCTCATTGTCCGGCTGAAAGGGGAACGGGATGCGTGACTTTGAGTGCATCTCAAGACAGAAGCAAGTTCCATGTTACTCAACAACAGCTGCTCCTGGGTGACAGGAGAAAGAGTAAAACTGAAAGCGAAACCGTCTCAAAATCATATTGGAGAGAGTAAAATACATTAAACATTTTGCATTTAACACCCAAGAATTGATGTGGACTGAAATGTGTTTCCCCTTCATTTCTGGGCAACACACCAAGTTTGTTATAGGGTTTACGTATAAGCAACGTCGCCCTTTCGGGGTTTGTGAGTAATGTACCATCTTTGCAACTGGGTTTGCGCTTAATGTACCTGGTCCTTTTCGGGGTACACGCCAGCTCTGAGGAAAGAGGCTTTCCAACTGTCCACGTCCTCCTGGGACTCGCAAGAGAGCTCGATCTGACGCAAGTCCTTATACACGTTCCTGTGCACGAACACATGCCAACTCACGGTGAGATGGTTTTTTATAAACAGGCATTAACGGACCACACCCAAGCCAAACGAGACGACAGCGAGCTCTTTGTCTTGTAACGGAAGCAGCAAGGTAGCGGCTGACCTTTGTTCCGTGTTGAAGATCCCAAACGTGTGCTTATTGGACATGAAGCCCTTCTCCACGTCCCTGAGCTTCAGATTATCCAGAGGGAGCATATACTTCTTCTCCTTCTCCTGGAAACACACCCAACCGGAACCACCCAAGACTGTCATGCTTGCGACCATGGTAACCAGTAAGCTCAAATTTGATTGGTTTACCCCACCATCCATCACCACCACAGCCATCGCTGCACGCACCTCCTCGTCTTTGTACCAGGACAGCGACTCGGCAGTCAGCACAAACCAATACTCCTTGGAGCCTCCCTTCATGATGCTGATGTTGATGGTGAGCCAACCTTTCCTGATCACCTGTCCGGAGAGAACGGGACGAGGCCAGGGGGTTGGGATGGCGTGGTTGGTATGGGAAAGGGGGCAGAAGGAGGTGAGATGCCATGATGTTGATTCTGGGAGAAATTATCACTCCTACTTCATGCCTTGTAAAGCTAGCCATGATGAACCCTTTACCTCCTTCCCTGCCCACGCAACAACCCTCTTATACATCTTTTTTAGACATGCTGGCTATGGAATCAGGTGGACCCCAGGATGCTAATACGCAAGCATACCCCTGAGCTAGGTTACTGCTGAATTAGCACTGAGGGAAGTCCTCAGAAAGGTGAAGTGATTGCACAACGCTGCTTAAACCGAGTCTTCCTTGTTACCCCATGGAAAGTAAGATGATAACCTCACTACATTAGCAGAGGTGTTAGGTCACTGGAAAATAATTCACAGGGTTAACAGGAGTGTTGCCAAATCAAGGTCATCCTTAGACTTCGGCCCATGTTTAGATTTGCAAGCAAGATAAAAATGGTAAAAAAATTAAGATATTCTCCATCCAAGATCGCTCCTATGCTCGACTGAAGCTGCAAGAAGCAGAACCGCTGGTTAAAATCAAGTATTTTCAAACACAAAGAAACAACAGTGAATTATAGGCGGTCTGGAATCTCTGCTCCTTCCTTTATTGTCATCGGTCGACCTGAGGCAGTCGACCATGAGATGTCATGTGACCCAGACCGAACGGCCGGCCCACAGCCTGAGGTTAGGCGTCAGTAAATCAATAACATTGAGCGTTAGGGTCAGTAGAAGCTAGCCTATGGGGCAATTAAAACAAGCATTGTTAGTGGCACGGACGGGAGAGACAATGTAACCTGTCAAGGTTCTTACTTTCGTACATATTTCCTGTTTTTAAAAGGCAAGGAGGGATGGGGGGGGCTAGGGAAGGTAAACAGAACAAACATAAAAAGCTAACGGAGCCAAGAGTTTGCCTTATGCAGGGTACGTGTCCTGTTTGGAAACATGACTCAAAGTCAACTGCTTTTCGAGACACTGGCAAAACAGGAAATATGGCAGCAGTGTTTCTGTTTAGGACGAGGAATTACTCAACCAGAACACAGAGTAAAAAGGATGTGAGAATCGATTAACTACTAGCTACTGTCAGAGTACAGAAAACCACAGTGAATAAACCTTCACCGTTCAGGTGTGATGTTGTCCTTCAAATCCTTTAATTGGCTCATGTCTTACGGCGTCTAATCTTGTCCCTAAACTTCCACATAGTGGCAAATCTACAAACATACAGTTTTGTTTACCGTTCTGCATGGGTAAATACCCCCTATTTTTATTTATTTTTTTTAAACCTTTAAATAGGAAGGCCAGGCGGTTCCGCTATTCTTGTGTTCCACCCAACAGCAACATCTGTGTTTACCTCACCATTCTAGTGGCCCTCAGTCCGGATGGACCACTCCAGCAGATCAGCACAGATGGAACAATCTGATTCCTCCATTGTGACTGGCTAGATGGCTCTGCTTTGAGCATTTGATTGGTCAAGCACCCCACCAATCAGAAGAGCAAGGTAACCAGAAAGCTCTCAGTTTCACCTCTAGGATTTACAGCATGGACTCATTCAGCTCTGGCCTCTGATGCTCATCTTGGGCCTGTCGAATTGAAACTGTCCTGCTAGCAGAGGCCAAAAACCACAGCCTGCACCAGAGACCAGTCTGAAAGTGAAAATATCATGGCTAATTCCTAACCTTCCGTACACAGACGAAGCAAGGCTGCAACAACAAGAACATCACACCTGAAGGATGGGCAAGAATGAGAGTGTGGAGATTAATGACTGCAGTAACAGCAATCATTACGGAGGTACAGACCACAAATTTTAAATGATTCCATTGAAATCTATATTTCAACCCAGCAGTCAGGACTGCTTTCTCCGATTATGTTGGAAGTCATGAATTGATAAACGAGATGATACACATGCAAAGATGGATAACAAAAAACATAAGTGTGTCGAGTTTGGCCACCCCCCCCCCCCCATTTCCAAATCCATCACTCCCCCTGCCCTTGTTACAGTAACAGCAGCACTCCACAAGGCAAACTCTGACACAGACACCCAGGCAGGACACCAGAGGACACCTTTGTCAGGATAACTGAGGCCAGGGCAACACCAGGCTTCACCACTAGGTGGCACAACAAGCTCTCAGTGCATTTCGCTTTCGCTTTTAAAATGACATCATTACTTGTGCACCACAGGCCTGCTTACAGCAATTTCATTTCTTCTTTCAGCAAAGACATCATTTCAAAGACATTCTCACGACATCGTGAACTGATTTGATTGATTGATGGGTGAATAAAAAGAATTCCACTCCAACAGCAAGTGAAACCAAGCGCAACGTAGATATTGCAATAAAAGTTAGCCACATCTAAACTACAGATTAAAAACTGCATCAATTACAATGCTGTTAGGATAATTTTGCTCAGAGCAATTACAGTGTATACTATTACCAAATTAGTGGTAATGGAGATAAATAGCGTAATTACGGTTGTAATTGTATTCTCCATTTCAGTCGTTATCTGGAACTCTACCTGATCGTCTTCCATGTCCTCCAACCTCTTAAACTGCAGGACAGAAGGCAAATATGACCAAACAGGTAACATTTGTTTGTTTTTTTTTTAAAAAGACGTTGCCATGGTAATACCTTGCGCAGGAGTGGTGATAACCAATCAGCATTACCAAAAGAGACAGGGACCATCTCTTTGGCATTGATTTGGTTTTTTTTGTTTGGCTCAAACGTCCCATAACAGTACATTGTAAGGCTGGGTCATTAAGCGCAGAGATTTCTCCTCCAGGGCCCAATGTGTCCCTAAAATGGTGAATGACCTCCCCCAGCTCAGACGACTGCCCGTAAGGCCTCAGGTTTCCAGCAAAGGTGACCACCCCTGAGTGGCCTACTACAAGGACGAGGCCTCTAACAGGGGCAGTACTGGATAGAGGGGCTTATAGGTACTCACCAAGATCTCACCCTGTTGGGGGGGGGGGGGGGGGGGGGTGAATGAGACAGAGAGAGAGAATAGACGGGGAGAACAGACATGCCAGGCATGTGAGAGGAGATGGGGTCAAGAGAGAATGAAGGGAGTTCAAAAAAAAGTAAGAGAGAGCAACACAGTTACATGCGATTAGATTAACCGGAGGGTTTCAGGCCTCTTGTCACATTGGTCGGTTCGTGCGCATTTCTAACAATTACCATAAAGGCCAAAAAAGAAAGCGGCTGATTAGTTATTGCTTTGCGGACTGCAGTCATGCCATTCGGTGTGTTTCATGCAACAATTGAGATACAATTATGAAAAACAGAGATTGTGAGGGGTGTAACAGGGATTACTACCAAATATCTTGATACATGTTGGAACAGGCAACTACAACATTCTTTATTCTGGATACACTTACGAGGCCAAAGGAATCAAACAACACAGATTGGTGCTGCATTGTGGGATATGGGGGGGTTCCAGAGCCAGCTTGTTTGGCTGAATTTGAGCAGAATGGACTGTATGACAAGTGGGCGGGACAGGGATTACGGTACCAGCAGTGTTAGGGTGGGCCGGGATTAGGCTGGTTTATGTCGGAGAGATGGTACCAGTGGAGAGGGGGGAACAATGAAATTTGGGTTAGGTCTAGGTTGGGTTACCAGGTATAGGGGGGCGAGGGAGTGATTTAAAGAGCCCTTTGGTGAGATGGGGAGTGAAGGGGCGGAATGCGTAGGGGTACCTGGTTGGGGATGGCCCTCTTCTTGTTTACGTGTGCGCTCCTCTGCTGGGCGCTGTGGGGTGGAGGGGAATTTCCAGAGGGAAGACCGAGTCAGGATTAGTCATACCACACAGAGATATGGTGAACATGAGTCAACTAGAACGAAAAAAATTACAGGGATTCAAGTGCTCTTTGAAGTACGCTTTATAGGCAACAGATACACATACAGCAAAGAGCGACTGCATTGTCACTGAGGAGAGCGGTTTGTTTGTTAAACATGTATAAACTCAAAATGAATGTTTTCAAACCCAAAAAGCGAACAAATAATAAAAATCTACATTCAAGAAGGTTTGCCAGCAGAGATTGGGCTGGTAGACAGATCACTACGGACACTGTTAGACGGTCACTACTCCCAGGGTGGGATAGGAGGGGCAGGTCTTAGACGGCCCACCTGTTGCTGCTGTACCCCAAAGGGGGGCTGTCGTCCATCCTCCTGAAGTCGAGACTGAAAGTGACGAGAGCGATTAGCCCCCACGCCACTCAGAACCAGGCCGTTACCCCATGCGTGTAACCAAAACCAAAGGCCAGTCAAGGAACAGCCAACACGCTCAGGTTTAAGTGGCCGGGGAGGGGGCACCTGACCCCATCATGTCACCACAAGCATGCTCGGGTGACTCGGTGTTAGTAGGGGTGCCAGGCTGGCTACGAGGCTCACTGCCATTAGCCCACGCTGTTTCCCCCCAGCGATGGCATCACCCATCGACTCAATGGTCTATCAGACTATATGGTAGCCTACACAAGATGACGCAAAAACCCAGGGCCAAAAGAGAGGGAGGAAACAAGAGGAAGTCCAATGCAATCAATCCCAGCTATGAAAATGCAGTTTCCCTGAGCATCATCGTAGCATGCAAAGGAAACAACACTCAGAATGTTGTGGATACACCGGCAAGCAAATCGCGATTCAAGCAAATGAAAATGAATTTCAAACAGCACTTCCATAGCAAAAAATATGTTCCGGTTCAAAAAAGACCATACCTGACATTTTTATGACGTTAAATCAACAACGGCTACAAAATCGATGGTGGGGGTGGGGAGGGGGGGGGGGGGGAGCAGGCAGGCTCTATATGGCACTTGCAATTGAATTTCATGCTTGGGTTTAATGCATGAAAAGGAAGTCATGCTTACAAAACAGTTTCTGTAACTGGATTTGTAGTTGACCATCAAGCCCTATTAAACCAGATAAACAGATTCACACATAATTCAGTGTAAGATGAAGAGAAAAACAAGTCTTCTCATCTCAACTTGAGGCAAAGGCGAAAGACAAGAACTATTAAACCCATATTAATCGCAACAAGCCCATGCATGCTCATTCCAGGTGATGGAGCTGATGATTGTGGACAAAAGATATCTAAGCCAACATGATGAGATGACTTGGACTTTGTGGCTGATAAAATCTCCTAGAAGTCTCAGCTTTGATGGCAGATTACGTCAGATGGGGGAGGAGGAGGTGTTGGTGGGATCTGGGGGCAGCAGTGACTTAATGCCCCCTCCCCCCCCCCCAAGCCCTGTCAGAAGCTCAAGTCCAAACAAGCTTTAAACTAAGGGATGCAGATGCAGGAAGGCTTTTGGGATATTAGTGGATTTTCCTGCAGCACATGTAGCCAGGAGAAGGGCGGAGTGCAGGGTTAAGGGAAGATTTGGGGGTGGGGGGCAGGGGGGCTCACGTACTTGGCAAAACCGATGAAGTCTTCATGGTTGGTGTTGATGTAGGATAGTTCAATGTCAATTAGAAGCAGAACCTGGTGAAGAAGAAACATTTGTATAAATTAAATGCTTCTTTTGAATTTCTGACAGGTTTCTGCTCCCCCCCCCCTTCCTAATGTACATCATTAGCCTGCATCCCACTTATGTCATCCTCCACGCCAACCTCCCGAAATTCTGCCTCCGCCATCTTACCTGGTCCTTGGTCTTGCCTTCTCTCTCTCGGATGTATGTGCTCACGATCCTCTCCGTCTCCTCTCGCAGTCGGGGGTAACAGCCCAGCTGCAAGAGATGGACAGCACTGCACGCACAGTCTCTGGAAGTGCTCACACACACACACACACACACACGCACACACAGATTCTACAGCTATTTGGCCTAACAAAAGGAAAGCGGCCACAACTACAGCGTGTTTAAAAAGCAGGAGGCATCACCCCTCACACATGCACAGCAGCCTGGAGGACAGTAAGGAATCACCGTCAGCTTAGAATGACCTGCTTTCCAGAGTGCTGCTGAGAAATGGAACGGCAGTCTTGGATCAAGACTGCTGGTCTGAATAAACAGCATACAAAGTCAGGAGAAAGTCAGGGGCCTATCAAAACAGGGTGACCTTTCCAAGATGACAGCGACCTTCAGTTTGGCTTAATGACTGTTAGTGGGAAACAGATAACAGAACTGGAGATCATAAGAAGTGCAGTTGCACGGTAGCTCAGAAAGTAGAGATAGACACCCTTTTCCCAGGATTCCCCCAACTAAAAATATAACAAGTGTGTCCTAACTAGGCAACAGAGCGCTTTTTTCGTTGGCTATTTCGGTCTCCTTCCTCCTCGCCCGAGTATACGTAGTTGCACAGCGATTCCAAAGTCATCGAACACAGCTACAGCAAAGGCTCTCAGCAGTTTCTAATGATTGTGCGCATGTGTGTGTGTGTGTGTGTGTGTGTGTGTGGGGGGGGGGTTGTGTCCTTTGCAGCCATAATGTCCCACGTGCAAGTTGGGCTATCGCAATACTGTATTGAACCAGCGACTGCCAGGTACAGGGACCCGGAGAACACTAATGGTTACCTGCTCCCACTCCCAAGCCGCTCACCTAGATGTGGGCTGAAATGGGGTCACTAAACGGAGCAGAAGCACTGAGGAAAAAAAGCAGTCAGTCACTCAGGGACCTGCGTCCCCATTACCAAATTGAGACGTTCACATACCTCCTGCTCATCCTGGGTGAGCACAGACTAACCCCTCCCCCCTCACTCACTCCCCAACCCAGGACCTCCTCCCACAAAATGAGGTTCTGTACTGTTACACACAAAAGCACAAAAACATGACAAACTATGGCGGCCAAGAAAATGGGAGGAAGTTACAAATGAGCATGTCGATTTTGTACGGGTGGATGGGACGACTTTGCGATACCTCAAGACAGGACAACGTAGCGAGGCCTAGCGCCTTTCCAAAGCCTGGTTTAGGCCTGGGCCTTGCACACACTGTTAATTCTGTTATCCAGGATGGGGAGGGGGGAGGGGGGTTCAGGAAGGGCCAGGCTTTTGGAAAAGGCCTGAGGCTGCATCAAGAGCTTTGGCGATGGATCACGAGACACCACAAGGACGCAAATGCCTGGTAATTCCTTATGGGACGAGAGGCGGAAGGTTGACTGTGAGGGTGCACCATGCCCCAGGCGCTGGGGGGGGGGGGGGCTATTTGGTGTCACGTGTCCGTTTTGGTCTGTGCACCACGATTACCTTGTCGCCGCACTTCCTGACCAGCGCGTTGAGCTCACACGCTACAAGATCCACGCATTTCAAACTGGGCGCTTTCAGTTTGAGCACCTGCTTTCTCACCATGGCCTCGAAAGCCAGGTCCGGCGTGAACAGGCCCGTTCTGAGGCATTAGGGGCCGTGGTGGGGGTTGGGTAGGGATTGGGGAGAGTGAAGAGGGAGAAAGAGAGAAGGAGAAAGATAAAAGGAAGGGGGAAGGCAAAGTCAAAAATCGAGACATTTTGTTTAGTCAGCCAGCTTGAATGTCAGAAGGGAAGGAAACATGGAAGCTGAGAGGGACCAACTGCAGGTTCTCAAATTCCAGAAGAAACGGATGCAGGAACCTGCAGCCGGACTGCACGAGACCCCGGACCATGCCGGAACGTTCCCAGACCTCGTCTATAAACACAGGCACCACCACAGCATACCAAAACATGACACCAGCACACAGGGAAAGAGGCAGATGGACTGGGATTGGTGAGGGTCGTTGGGGGGGTGGGATGCACTGCTACTCTCTTGGAGGATGGGTATTAACATCAGACGAGGCCAAACTGATCTGGTTCTAGGAGGAGAATAATATGCAATGCTGCCCCCACTCCCACAACTCCCTCCCGCACAAGGGTGCCCCCATCTGGCGGTACCTTGTCAGTGCACTGCCTGACTGTGCTGACGAGCTCCTGAACAACCAGGTCGATACACTTCAGGCAGGGTTCCTTCAGCTTAATAATCTGCTTTTTCACGATGACCTCGAACGCCATGTCTGGAGTGAACAGGCCCGTTCTACATAGACAGACACACAGGCGCAGACAGACAGACAGACACAGATTGAAATGGTGGGGGGGGGGAAGCAGGGTATGTGTGGGGGATGGGCAGAGCAGAGAGAATGAAACAATGTGAGACAACGACATTTTCTGAGGGCGACGACCGACTGGTTGGCGTTGCAGCTGAAATTAACACTGGTGAATGGTGCCTAAGCACAGATAACACTAGAGGGCTGTGTTACCCAGAGGGAAGTGCAAAAACACATGGGGGCGAATGGTGGCCGGGAGAGCAGGAAGTGGTCAGAGAGGAAAGAGAATGGGGGCAGACTGATGTGCTGGCGCTTGGCTGTGAGGCGGGTCACTATGCCCCCCCCCCCCCATTCCCTGGTACGTGCCTCACACCGTGGACGTTCTTGATAGCATGGCTGATCTCTCGCCTCAGCTCCTTCTCATCAAACACGATCTGGGATGGAAGGACAGAGACACATGGGTGCAGAGCCCATCACTCAGTGTGTGTGTCCGTCCGTGTGTGTCCGTCCGTCCGTGTGTGTGTGTGTGTGTGTGTGTGTTTCTGCTGTGATAAACGACTGCTAAAATTAAATTAAGTACAAGAACATTATTGTTGGAGAAAGGCTCTGTGGCTGTGTGGCAGCGAGATGAGTGAGCGGGTACCTTAACCAGCTCAAACGGGAAGCGCTCGTGGAAGATGCGGTTGATCCTGGCTCCGCCTGACAGCTCCACCGTGTCCACCTGGTTTCCAGAGCCTTCTATCCGCTTCTCGAAGTCCACTCCGAACTGCTGCACCATTCTGGGGAAGGCGGACAGAGATGCTCAGTGTGTGTGTGAGCGAGAGAGAACAGGTCTATTAATAAGTAAAAATAAGTAATTAGCTCAATAATATTCATAATCCTTACTGCAGCACATACCGATTCCTGTACTATAGCACAGAAAAACCCCAGTGACGCAGATGACTGATGTGCACCCAATGTCTGCTAAGAGGAGCGTGCTTCCACCCCCCCCCCACCCCCCACCCCCCACAGCAGGGCGGTGCGGCCCACTCACTGCAGCAGAGCCTTGGTCTTGCGCGTGGGGTCATCTGGCCGGAAGTTCTTGTACTCCTCCACCTCCTTCTCCAGGGAGAGCAGCTGGCTCTGCAGCTTGTTCCGCAGGCCCGGCAGCGTGTCGCGGATGTGGTTGGTCAGTTGCTGGGGAGATGGCAAGGGGGAAGTGCCGGGGGCAGGTTACGGGTGCGAAAATCAGAAATGCCACGTTCCCCATTCCCAGAAAAATTATATTTCTGCTTTTGTGTTTAATGGCCCAGGATAAATTAACACCCCCCACCCCCTCACCTGGTTGAGCGTCTTCTGTAGGTAGGGGGTGCCCATGCGTTCCGCAATGTGCCTGTAAGCCGGGTGTGACAGAAAGAACTTCCTCTCGGCCGCCAGAGCAACACGAATGTCCTTCTTTCCGTCAATGTCTTTCTGGCTGCGGTTCACCACTCCAATGTAGCCTGCGGGGGGCAGCAGAGAGCACCATTAATGACTTTCTCCTTGCTTGCAATGGCCCGGGTTCCCCTACGGCACACAGTTGCGTCCTCCTCACCCCTGCGCAGAGGCAGCAGCTTGTTCTCCAGGATCTCCTTGGCATCTGTCCCTTCGTCCATCAGGTCCAGCTTGGTGATGACGCCGATGGTGCGCAGCCCTGCAGAAGACGTTCACAACAGCTCAGCTCCGGGTTTTGAAGACTTTGCCCATCATTCAACTGGCACTCTACACTGGAGGCATTTTGATTGGACATGGAAGGAAAGGGGCGGGGCTTGGCAGTATCACATCTGCATCATTGGAAGGCATCATCTAAGCAGACAGTCCCAAAAGCCCTCATCCAATGCCTACCCTGGGGGTCGACCTCCTTGGCGATTTTGAGCGCGTCGGAGTTGGCGAGGTCAGTGTTGGCCGGCGTGACAGCCAGGATCAGGCAGCTTTCCTTGGTGATGAACTGCAGCAGCATGTCCCTGATCTGGTGCTCAATATCTGGAGGCTGGTCCCCAACCGCCACTTTAGTCATGCCGGGCAGGTCGATCAGTGTGAGGTTTAGCACTGGGGGCCGGTACAGGCGGGGTTAGAGGTGGAGAAGAGAAAGCACGAGATCCCAGCATGACCAGTGGATGCCCTGGAGAACAAATGTCATGCAAGTCATACCATGCGGGGAGTAGACCCTCAAGTTGATGGGGATGGGGGAGATTCCCTTATTGGAGCCCGTGATCCTGTCCGTCTCAGCCTCGATCTCCTGCCGAACCTCATCGAAGTCCACAAACTTGCGGCCTTTACAGTGCAGAAACTCTGCATATTCTGCAGGGGGG